TATAATATCCTTAAATGTAACGCTATACTTATCCTCACTTTTTTTAGAAAAAATCTAGTGTTTTTGTTTTCTTATTTTTGACTCGTCAAATGTGTGTGTGCCTGCATACAAATGTTTATATCCATACAAAGACTCGAACTCAATGCACTTTTGTTCAAAAACCAATGCTTTATCCACTGAGCACTCACTTAGTTGTAAAATATACTGACAATGTATGATCGAGATCATGAATCGATTGATGTTGGACCACTATTGAAAATCCGAAAGCACTGGACGGGCGTCTCGTCCTATTATGGGACTCCTCAGTAGTGTGCATCCACGATCCGACCGGCAAGATTCGAACCCAGGATCTTCGGTCTCGCGCGTGAATGCTTACCGTCTTAACCACTGAGTCGCGCAATTTCGTGGATTGGTTGAGGTTAGACATTGACACCATTGAATGTCAGCCGGCTCAGTGGTCCAAATGATCGAAGGTTCTGGGTTCAAATCCTGCGAGCCGTATCATGGATGCATGCTGCTGAAGAGTCCCATAATAAAGCGAAATGGCGGTCCAGTGCTTCCAGGTCTTCAATAGTGGTCTAACATCAATCGATTCATGATCTCAATTACAAACTTAATAATCTCCACAACCCCATATTGATAAAGTATGGTTGAAAGTCAATTCTAAACATCGACAATCGGATAATACAGACTTTTGCTAATAAAATATAGATGAACATCAGACTGTTTTTTTGAAAGTGAAAATTAAGGAAATAATTTGAATTATTTTCTGGTTCGCGTTTTTTATAGTGATTTATCCAGGATGGGGTCGATAACCCCATGCCAATCCCTCCTCATTTATCTGGGCTGAAGACCGGTAGTAGCCTGAGGGGCTCCAGGCGAATTTTAAAAAAAATTAATTAATACATGATTAATGTATGATAAGTTTAATCCTGTTACTTCTAAATAATAATCTTGACTTCAGAGGTCGATCCGGATAACGTTGTTTGTGTTAACAAAACATGAAAAAATCATTGTCATCATAACTAATGACAATCAGCTGTGATATAAATAAAAAGCAATTTACATCTACATTTTACATACTATTAAATGATGAGATCTATTTCAAAGCTATCTATTCGATGAAAATGTTATTAAATACGTAGAATACATAGCATGTTGCGAGTAGTGAAATCCAGTACTTGCGTTTCATTCTATTTGGTAGTGGTAAGCTAGATGTACTCACATCCTAGAGTTGGTTTTCGCAGAATACATAAGAGTACTATGATGTTCCAGACTAGGTAATTCTACCTAGAAGTGCATTCTAATATGGTAAACTTTATTCAGTCGAATCTCATGGGGAAGTAAAGTTTCATCCCAGTTTTCCAGATACTGTTTTAAAAACACCACACACTTGTTTATAAACCTCGATCAAAGATTAAATAATAAAAAGGAAGTCAAACCTCATTAGTTATATGTTTTTAAATAAATGCTACACATCATAAACAATACTGCAAGAAAAATCTAATAAGTGCATTGAAGACTAAGTGATTTGTAAATATAACACTGAGGTTGAAGTCACAAAAAGGCTTATTCAAGTCCTACTCCACCTGTTTTAGTTGCATCAACATGGTGACTCGACAAATTTGGTAAACCTGTACTTGGATAGAAACCTTCTATATTTAAAGTTCACACGGGAGAGAGATGGTAAGTATAAAAAGTCTTACTTTACAAACAAACTTATGTAGATCTAAAAAAAGTATACTTCTGGGCTTACAAGTAACTTTGATATTCTAGACGTTTTAATGTTACAAAATTGGCAATTGTCCAACCAAGGCATGACACAATTTCTAGAAGTCTTGCAAATTCCTATTGAATGCCGATTCAACGAAGCATATAAAAATTTCACCTGGTTCCTGAAGACTCTTTCCAGGAATTATCACTGCCAATATCTACAAAAAGTCGCTAAATACAGACGAGACCTAGGGCTTTCCGGCATATATACCGAAAGAATTTATCTTCATGTATTGATAGATTTTTCATATCTAAATTTATTGCAGGTGGAACTAAAGTATAGGGACGATCTTGGGGGATTCTAAAAATAATCATTTAAAACCTCAAGCACTTATCCTGCTCGAAATTGGGTTAGCAATTAGCGTTAAGGAGTATGATTGATACTTGAGGTTAAACGTTTAGACAAGAAATTAAAGTTAAGATTACCAACTCAAACTGACATCAGCTATAATGTAAGAACCCTATCTGGTTTTATGGATGAATGAATCTCGTGCACAAATTCCAGAGGTGCAATCACAAATCCGATCGGCTCTTTCCCTTTTTCTTTAACCGCACTGTATTACAAAGAGATTTGAAATCCGATATATTAGCTGTGAGCTTAGTTGTCTCCTTGACAGAAAATAACCAAAACCTTGTCGTTTTTACCGTGATAAAACTGTTAGTGTAGACTTCTACGAAAATGATCAATCGCATAGAGTGGCGAAATCAGAATCATTTCCTAATTTACCCAGTAGTACGTCTTCCAATTCCCCAAATACCTTCATTGTGTAATTATTCCCACATATAAGATACTGGGTGCAGTAGGAAGTTGATTAGCTGTTAATAATGTTGAGTCACACTATATTTTCCAAATTATAACCGATCTGAAACCAAGGACACCTATATAATGCCGTCCACTTACAAGTGAGACTGATTTATTAATTAATAAACATTTGCATTGTACTGAACGAGAACTTCAGCGGGGGAAACCAATTTGTTCTTCTCTGCAAAATTACACAGTTCCTTAGTAAAATATGAAAATCATACACGATCTGCACATCTTCCTTCATCTGTCTTTTACATACTTTATAGTCCTTTCAATTTTATCGTTATTCGGATTGTTCTCCTCAACTCAATCTTATGCTGGCAGACATTCCACTTCCAGTTGCTGCTACATATTACTTATATGGTGACAATCGTAACCAATGGTCGGAGACTCTTGGTGACATGGCTCAGAATCGATCACAATGGCGTCGGTGTACACACTCTCTATCTTCCCTTAAACTAAGAAATTGAAATCACTTCATATCTTTCTTTCTACGAACTAATTCTTTCTTCCTGTACTATATCCTTATTGCGATCTTTCTTTTATAAATTACTACCTCTGAATTAACTACTTTTATGAATCCTGTGTCCATCTTGTTGTGTTAATGAAGTATAGCAACTTGGACCTATGCATATATGTGCCTGGTCCTACGTTGTAGCTGACTGACATATTACTTATATCTGTCAGCATAAGTAGCATACAGCACAATATCACGTTTTATGAAGTCTGAACAAAATCAATCATATAGCTATTCAACTTCCAAAATATTTGATTGGACTTTAAAGATACTCATTTAATTATCATTGGCTGTTTGAACAGCGATTCAAAAGATTAAGTATTTTCTCATACTTTAATTGGATCACATTGGACAAAAGGTGAAGATAACTAATTAGTTTTTTGGAATCTATGTTACCTTCGACGATTATCAAAACTTAGTGTACAAACAATAACCTTTTGCAAATGATCTTTTTTTCGCACCATATTTAAAAAGGGTATCAATGTACAATGAACTAGTCGTCTTGAAAATTGCTCGAGTTATAAACATTCATTTCAGATAATTGCTCCGAATTTTATAAGATGAAGAAAAGAAATAGGTGCATTGAAACAAATGAAAATTTCGGACTAGTGATTGAACTACAAATATAGATGGGTTTTTCGTTTGAATACTCAACTGTATACAAAAAATTAACCTGTTTACTACGATTACAGTAATCATGAAGCCGTTCTTTTGTGACTATGGTCAAATTATCCATATGTATAATTATACATGAAAATATTAATAGAAGTGAAAGGCTTTTGTGACCACCTGGAAAGCCAGTTACCTAGGTATTAAAATTTAATGATAATAAACACAGTATTCATCCTGATGATAATAATCCCTGACTGACCAGCCGGGGTGTGACAGAAAATCATTCAATTTCGAACGGTTGTTTCTTCCATGTATGGTGCCTTTCAGAAGCACACGCACACGCCCACGACATTATGGTTGATCAACTCCAGGACTTCCAGGTCATGCAATACGGACTGAACCACTGGTATGTTGATCGGATCATTGATGAGCACTGATGAAAAATCTCATTTTTGTATTCGACAACTATCCTATCCTATATGGTTTTTAATGATACTTTAACTACGGTTATTCTATGACGAACACTATCTAAAAATTGAAATAATTTCACCATAATCACTTCATGTATGAATTGTATTTAATTATTGAGGTTCAGAATTCAGTAGACAAACATCTTTGTGTGCAGACTCCTCATTGCTAAAACAGTTCGATGGACTACCACAAAAATAATCCCAGACATCTGTAAAACGTATATAATCAAACGGAATTCCATATGATTACGTTAGAACATTCGGATTACTTAGTGATAACAGGCGAACTGATATGCCTTTTTCTTGCATTGTAGAACAGTAGGCTTGCCATGATACCGGACGCAAGTTCCCAAGTTGAGATATAACTATTTGCTAGGTGACTACAGACTTTTGCACTGAGATGTCTACAAATAGAACATACTAATTAGCATGCGATGATGATCGTTTCAGAAGTTTGTTTATGACAATAAAGGATTGACTGTGAGAATCCTACCAATATGACTAACATACATAACCTATCTTTTTTGACCTTACCAACCAAAACAATAAACTACAAAAGCCAAAAGTCTACCGCAAAACAAACAGAAAATACTTCAACTTATTCAAGTACTTTCTGTGAACTAATCACGAGAGCGAATGCTTAACCTCTAAACCACTAAGTCAGAACCCAGCCGTGCTTAGATCGAATCGTGAATTCAGCTGAAAATACTACAATCTCCACAAATCCCCATATTGATAAAAGTTTACTCTCATTTCTAATAAAGTATATATATATATATGTATACAAAATCATTCAAGTTATCAAATGAATACAATTGAATAATCAAGGATTTGGTTTTATTTTCTTATCATTAACATTTTCACATTTAGTTGATTTTGGAGAAAATTTGGCATGGAAACGATGATACAATTGTTGTAGGTCTACCAAAATACTTAGATAAACAATATAAACAATAGAACGATACCATTTACTATAATAAGAAAACAAAATGGAAAGAAAGAACATATGATCGGTTAGTAAAATAAACACAGCGACATTTAAATAAGATGGTGGTTGGAGGTTTTATTTACTTAAATACATAAATATTAGTACAAAGAGGCACCACATAGATATGCGCCACATAAATCATTCGATTTATGTGAGGGCTAGGATACTTCGCGGGTGCCTAAACCGAACCAGGTGGTTTCTTAGGGGATCACACCACGAGCCTCTGACCTAAAGGTCTAATCCACAAGACAATGGAGCAACGTTAGGAGATACAGTCCCATGGTAGCCGGTGGTCAATAGTTAGTTCACATGCCATTTGTTTCCTTGGGATTCTGGAGCCCGTGTGCACCGTTGGTTTGAAATCAGGTTTTTCCAACTCCCCTAGGTGATTCCCCCGTATCCATTAAACTCGGTTAAAGCGCCGGACAATAACTTTTCGTCCTCTCAGTCTCGTAAACAACACTTCTGCCACGAGAAGGCAGTGACTTCCACGGTAGTGGTTGTACACACGTGGACACTTGAGAGCATTTCAAGAGGGAGAGCTGACTCTCTCCGCTCTCGGCCGTACTAGGGCATTCGAAGGCCGGTTGGAGGTAGTCAACAGCAAACCTCTAATCACCATATTATCTCAACATAACGCACGCAATTTCGAGTCACCTAGACTAGTAGCCATATTGCAGCTTGGTCGATAGCATTCGATCTGCACTAAGGACCTAACGTTGATCACCACTCAGTGATCAATCAATTGTGAACAGCGACATTATACAAAGTTGTGAAAAAAGTTCGACGAGACTATAATTTATGGACGAACTAATCAGGTATAAGATAATAGGTCTCGGATTTCGGCGCGAAATTCAGCCATCTATTTGGCTAAATAAAGTTTTGGCATTATAGCTGATGTCAGTTCGTGATGAGAACCCTAAATGTAATTCTTGACTTTAACCATAAACTGTAAATCATAATTCTAATTCCTTACACTGGTTTATAACATTCATTTGGTCCTAGTTATTAGGTGATTTATTTACTTTATTTTATTTCAACACATAGATATTGATATAAGGATATATGTGAGGGCTGTGATACTGCCCGGGTGCCCAAACCGAAGCAGGTGAAGACTCCCAAGGTCAGTTTAGCGTCACTCAAAGGTCGTCCATAAATTATAGTCTCAACAAAAGTTTTATCACAAGATAATAGTGTTATCGATGGATTTTACGGTGAATGTTAAAAATAATGTTAATCAACTTTCATAATTTTTTGAAAGGTTATAATTACTAAATAGATGGAGATGCTTGGATAGTTGAAATAAAAATAATATTTAGATAAAATATATAGTTCTTGTGAGTCATTTACCTTAAACAATCAGGGTAACTTCTACAATGATGCATTATTAAGCGAGACGTTCAGTTACAGAGGCTGGATCAAAGTTTCATGCTATCTAGCACTCTGATAAAAATGTACTTGAAATTATTATTAGCTGACGCTTTCTATAAAATTCGAACAGATCTGAGTCGTTACTACTGAGCTGTCCGGATCGCAACTAATCTTTTATAAAATTGATATATTTACACTAATTGATCATTAAGTAGTGACCAAATTCATGTTCGACTAGTTTTTAAACCTAATTGAATTCTACCGGATAATTTGTAGTTGATACTGAGGTACAATATGTTACGTATTTGCAGGCAGCTGACAGAAAGTAGACATAATATTCATGCCAGCTGATACTTGTAAAGATTTATTTAAGATTTTGAGATGGTTAGTGCCTTATATGACGGAAGAATCTTACTAATCAAGATCACTGAATACTGAACAATACATTTCAATGATTGATGTAATAAGTTCAGATGATAGTGTTTTCTAATGCGAAGTTCAACCAAATCATGTACTATGCAAGAAATAATACCAAAGAACACAATTGGATCAATAAAGCAGTAATCACAAAGTATCATCTGTCACACAACCTAACTGTTGAGAATGTTAAATTCCCTGAAAACAACCTACTGACTATTTTGTAACCTTGATTTTATAAATTCGAATTTCCATTAAATCGAGACAAAAACTCTTCGATTTTTACTATTGATGAAGATGTTATATTCATATTATCCATTTACATTGTCAGTATGCTAAGTGTTTACTCTATTTTTAAAGTCTTTGTAGATATATTCATAGGTATGTGATTAGATGGTGGTTGGAGGTAGTCAACAAGAAACCCTGGACCTGGGTTTCGTGCTATTTGGCACTCGTCAGCAAGGTGTATCTGTAATCTTGAGGGAACTGGTGCTCCCTGGCGGATTCGATCCCGTGTCACCCAGTCTCACAGTCAGAGACGTTACCACTGAGCTATCCGGGTCGCGACTGACCTCCTGGGAGCACCAGTTCCCTCAAGATTACAGGTACACCTTGCTGACGAGTGCCAAGTAGCACGAAACCCGGGTCCAGGGTTTCCTGTTGACTACCTCCAACCACCATCTAATCTCACTATATAGTGCACGCAGTGTCGAGTCACCTAGACTAGTGGTCACATTGCAACATGGTCGATAGCATTCGATCCGCACTAAATAAGGACTTGAGAAGCATGACATTGATCACCACCCAATGATCAATCAATTGCTTGAATAACTGAGTGACTTTACTAGAATCAATCTTATTTGATGTTTACCGATAAATTATCTTTATGACAAGTCAAAGTCAAGAGAGAAATATGCTATCCAGATATCTGAATCGAAACTTAAAAAAAGAATATCACCTTTAGTATTACGACACATCACTAATATGAGTAGTATATAGGTAATTAAAACTCAAATAAATCATAGGAAATAAAAGTCAATTAGAAATCAAGGTTTAACGCAAAAAAAAGAACAACGTTCTAGACTTTATTGAACGAACAAAAAATACATACAGATTGAAGTCCATTCTCTGCTTTTTATTTGCCTCCAAAAATTCACGATGAAATACTCCCATATCTGGTATCTTATGTTCAGTTGAATTATTTTCTAAATTTTTCATTCTCTCTTTTTCCAAAAATGCATTTTTTGCCTATGAGAATAATGATAATGATAAAAAAGGGACAAATTACTTCTGTTGTATACAAAACATTCAATAAAACTATACCAGTCGCAGAAAAAAATCATACAATAATAATAATATCTATTTTGTGTGCTAATAAGATGTGGCAACTTGGACCGATGCATATATGTGCCTGGTCCTACGTTGTAGTTGACTGACTGGTTTTGTGTAAATACTATTCAAATAAAGAATTGTATAAACATCTACCTTACTTTTACATGTGTACCTACTTTAAACATACTGACAACCTAGGTCAAAATGGTATAAGGAACGATATAAGGAAGTTGATAAACCTAAAACATTTAAACACTTTACAAGGAACTTGGAAGCACCAATGATAACCGTACTAAAAGACTGCTGTTTGATGGCATGATATATCATATACACTCAAACCCCTTTGCAAGAGTTTTACACAGATCACAGAGATTACTTAATTAATAATTCTGATCGAATAAAAAGGATAATAATCTGCACTAAATGAAGTATAAACACTAAGATAACAGGAATGCCGAATAACCAATGAGAATTCACATTGTTTCAGTAATCAACCCCAGTTCAATTCCGTCAATGAAATCGGCTCTGATACCAGTTCATATAATTTGTAGCCACTTAGAACCCGGAGACAGTGGTTACATTTATTTTGAGTAGCTGTACATACGTAATATCAGGAAATTATTTATCGATCAAAACTGGCTATAGAAACCGATAAATATGGGAGAATTGTATGACATATGTGGTCGAATATCTGCAAGGCAACCAATGTGGAGATTTTGGAGGAAAACTTCCAAGTTGATTGAAGATATGTTTCTAGAATAGCAAACGTGATGTCCAAAATTAGGCAATAACAACAACATGAGAAATTAGTTATATAGCTAAACTGTGTCGCGTGTAAGACAGTCATTACTCAGGCACACAGTATCGTTGAACATTATCAATCGATCGGGATATCTCCTCCATTAATTTGACAATCCTTAGACGTATTTTCTTCACAAACTATATACGGCTAATTAATAAAACAATTGCTAACCGCTTCAGTAGTAAAGTGCTCAAGTAAATCATCGTTTTGAACTTGTCAGAAACTGTGAATGAGACTATTAACAACGATGGTCAGTCAAATAAAGTCAAGTTACCTATCAATACCACAGAACTTTAATGTGCAACCAAAACAAGAAAAATTATCGGATTATTTAACCGACTTTACTTTATGCATGAAAAAGGGGTTTATCGATCACCACTAACACAACACATTGTACATTATGTGTACAAGAAAAATAGTTTTTAAATGAAAACTTAAAAAGGCATAACGATATAAGAAAGATAAATATAGAAAACATATAGAATTGATTAATGTCAAATCTTCCAAAAGTCACTCTTTAGTAATAAAATTCATCTTAGCCAGTTGTTTTGTAGTGCAAAACAACATGCAGTAATGAATTGGGAATTAAGAGTAAATTGATTATCAATGAAGATAAAAATGGATATACTCTTTAACTTAAATTCACTAGACACTAGTGATCAAGAAATTTAGTTAAAGTAGATAAACTTTGCATGGTACAGCAGTTAGTAGTTATTAGGGACGCTAGCATTGATAGTTAAAATTCGTGAATGCTACTGATGTCGAACTGAGCATACCCATGAAACGTAACGGTATACGGTGTATGGATGCAAAAAACGAAAAAAAATATTGTGTACAAGAGCTATCTGTAGGTAGTGTCTAGAAAAATCAAAGTAATCATTCTCAAACTTCCTGACACTAGAAAATAACAACCCGCACCTTTGAATAAGAAAGATTGTATAATGACCAGTATTCGTTTAACCAACGCCAGGTTTCTTGACAAACGGTCTTATATTTTAATTCCAAATTAGTTTCATTCGGTTTAGATCTAAACCTTAATGGATGGATGTTTGAAGAGTACTGAAACGAATTAGGGTTGTGACAAGGCCAGGGTGGCAAGTCTTTTTTCGAATCCTGACTTTCCTTGATTTTAACAGATATTTTAGAAAGCTGTTTGTAGTAACCCATAGGAATAAACTTGTCGCCGTAGGCAAGAGATTGTGAACTGATGGAATTAATCGATTTGAACACCGTACCGTAGGACCACATATTTCCTCGAAAATATCTGCTTTATTTCATCTTCGGGTCGACCGGTAGTTAACCTTTTACAACATAATAACAATATTGATAAAATTTGCCAACAATCAAGAACTGTAGTTAACAAGTATAAAATAACCAAACAACTAACACGAGTGTAGGAAAGTTGTACGACATATGGAGAGCAAAATAAGCAGATTCACAATTGATTGATCACTGGGTGGTGATCAATATCATGCACACCAGTTCCTTCTTAGTGCAGATCGAATCCTACCGACCAAGTTGCATAGTGGTCACTAGTCTAGGTGACTCGACATTGTGTACACCATCTTCTCTGAGTAGATTCAGTTAAAATTATAGTTAAAGCAGGACTGAAGTTAAGCTTACGAAAATACATGCTAGAAGAAGACTTAAATAAGTCTAGAAGAATAAACCACTTCATAAAATACATGATTAAAATAATCAGCAGTGATCTGCATCATGAAAAGCTTGTGATCCTCTTAGTAAATGGAATATTGAAATGAAGGAAATCTAGTACAGGAAACCTATCACTTTTAAACACCTTAACAATTGCTTAATTCCGAAATTGAAATAGACCAAAACTCACAATGATGTTTTCTGGAACAAGACAACAAGTCTATGGGTGCGGGATCTACGTTAAGATGTTTAGTAGTCTCACTTTCTGGGAATCACTAATTTAATGCATATAGACAAGAGCATCTACTTTAGGGAAAATCAGCTACCTAATTCTTATCCAAGCTGTATAATTTGAACGTAAACCTTATGTTTACGTGCACAATAATCAAACAGAATACACCAAATTTAGGTGGGATGCCTCAGATATCAGCTATGAATTAAAACTGTATATTGCCCTTCGCTTGGCCAATCACATATTTTTACAGCATTATATCACTGAAATTTGAATGGAATAACTTGGACATCTCATAACTATTTGACTAAAATGTTCATATATTTAGCAAACTAGATACATATTACATTTACAATATCAAAGTTTTTATTTCAAATATTGTACCGTAAACGTTAATCTGGACAATCAATTATTATCACTAGCTCTATTACAAAAGTGTGGTTCAAAGTTATATATATAGGTATGAAAATACCTCAGTCTATCTAGCTGATAGTGCTTTACCACTATCCCTGATGATCTCTTGAGTCAACCTAACTGGGTTTGCTGCCTAGTAATAGACCAGGTAGATGTGCAGAACACCAATAATCTCGGGGATCTCATTAATCGTGGTACTCTGAGAACTGACAAAATCTCAACAAGGATACAAGTCCTTTTCAAATTTACATAACGTACAACATCAGTGAAATGAAAGTTTTGTCTATTAAACAGAGAGCACATAGCCCAGCATACCTTTTATCACTAAAACGGTTTTGAGAAAAAGACGTACATAAGTTGCTTTCGTTTGATCGTAGGTGTTTCTGAAACACTAGTCAACTTTAGTGGGGATACCGTATAATGTCTAAGTTATGAATAGAGCACTAAGTGATGATAAATTGGTTGCTACGCTTTAGTCCAATGAAGAGGTTGAGATACATTACGCATACACATACATATAATGAACCAACTATTATATGGGAGTTAAGTTATGAACGTGCATTAACCACCTACCTTTCTCCTAATCGCTTCAAGGTTATATTTAATCAGTAAGAATTTGCACCAGAACCTGCAGTATTCTGGAAATTGCAGTCCGCACTGCTTTATTGTTTGGGTCTTACTGGTCCTATTTAAAATAGGGTAAAGACTTTCTAACTTCATGAAAGCTCTCTTTAACCTAAAAATGCTTCAAAACCTTTAACAGGAACGCAATACTTCATACAGAAATAGTGAAATTCAAATTAAAAAATGGCATGCACCCCATTAATTCCCATTCAAAGGCGACGCTAATTTTCAGAAGCGTTCACCTGACTGAGAAGAACGAGATTTTGAAAGGGCTTAGATGCCTTTCAATCAAACTGCCGTCAATTGAGGCAACCGAATATGATGTATGGAATAACGAGTGTAGGTTTTAAATCAGATATATCTTTTTCCTTTCTGACTAAATAAGAACGAATCAGAGAAAAAGAAAGGTCTCAAAATCCCACAAAGGACCATATATCGGTGGAGCGCAGATTTCCCTACTGCATAATCGACTCTTAAAACCTACTACTAGAAAACATGATATTTGTACCTTTGTTGAACTTACTCAAGAGAATATCAGACATACAGAAGTACCCTGGAGTACTAGGTCATGCTTTCGAGCTTCTGTCCTTCATACATAAATCTGAATTTGCACCTGATGCTAAGACAAATCCGGTCCAATAAATTTTTCCACACTCGCATTATGCCTTCAAGTATTATTAAAATCTAAGTAATGGAGCATAGATGAGTTAAAATAATTTTACTTAAGAGCCTATTACAAGTTATCGCGTCATCGGATTATAAAATACCAACGTCAAAACAATGCCTTTGATGATCTGCTGGCCTACATTGTTTGCAAAACAAACACATTAAACAAAGGCGTAACAATGAGTCAAAAGTGACCGAAAAACAAAACCAGCCAAAACTAATTGTTAAAATTACTTTGACAGGTTAACTATGGATAAAATAGGGCTTATTTATTCATGACACCCACTTCGCTTGGTGTAGTAAAAATAAGAAACCCATACATGCACCCCAAACATGTTACAATAGTACTAATTAGATCTAAACAGAACTTGGAGTTTTAGAATAGACTTTATTCACATAACAATCTACGAGTGGAAAGTCATTTCTAAAAATACAATTTGGTTTAAATACAGACTAGAAGTTTTGTTCCATCATACTATGTGTCTATCTTTGCATCCGGAACTTGATTTGAACTCTGAAACGATCCACAATGAAGGTCAGAAGAACTTACCACAATACGGTGAGAAACTAAAGGAAGTGGTTGTTTAAAGTCATTATTACAATTGGAAATTCCCATCCCGAGACCAAAACCAGTCCCGAAGATAAGTGGCCATGGACGCCCTAGGCAAGTTATATAATACGGGAACTTACTTTTAGCAAGCACCACAGAAAATATGATTCCCCCAAATAAACCAGCACCTAGAAGCCGTTTTAGAAAACGTCACATCGAACCTGTCTTAATCAAGGTATCGGAAATACACCTATCAAGTTTAAATCCAAGTATATCTTCTGACTTGAAGTTCTCGCCCATCTGACTGAAACGCAAGAGTGGAAACAGGCGCCTTGATTTCAATACTCAAATAGTGTGAATCAATTGGTTGGGTAGTTTATAGGAACGTGACACTAACTGATTTATTGCGTTCATCCTGGAGGTAAATTGTGTACTGAGGGTGTATGAAGGGCAGCATATGAAAGAATCGGGGAGAGTAGTGAACAATGAGTAAGCACATACTTTACACATATATTTGATTATAGAAGCAATCGACAACAGTCAATCATAACATTGGCATAAAATTAGGATAACCTGAAAATAGTCCTACAGGCTCTCAACATTGATATTGATCTCATCATTTTTACTGGTCACACCTAGCTGAAGGCGCTCAACCACGAGTGGGCACGCCTTGCTATACATCCCATGCGACCGTTAGCCAGCACAGACTGGACGCTTCCGGACTTATCAGTAATAGCCCAAATATATTTTCAAACTTTTTGATTTCCAACTGCTGATTTCACTGGGTTATTATACTTCGATAATAAAGGTTTACGCGTGAAGGAGATTTCAAACTACGCATCATTAACACTATTACCACATACTTAATGAACTTATTAAATATTGGGTTGGTGACTCTTTTCATGCATCTAAAAATGCGTTTGAAAGTTACTAGTGCAAGGCTTTCTGTAAATCATTTTTATTAGTGACAAAATAAAACTTTGAGCTGTTTGAAAGTTCACGATCTTTGCTGCTTACTGCGTACACTTTTGTCATTCTTATCGTTCGCTACATATCAAAACTTCTTTTTTCGATGAACAATTTTCAGCCGTAGTATCAAAGAGTGTCGTATTTACAAAAGATTTAAATTCCATTATTTGTGCAGTGGAATTCTTTTGGGCTGAATTCATCCATAGGTTGTGTATGTCTAGTCTAGTCTCCATCCGAAGCAGACTAAATTACTTAATCTCCGGGTCTTGTTCTCTTTGAATAGTTACGAACAGTACTGCTTGTCCGAAACATCTTACTTACTTACTTACTTACGCCTGTTACTCCTCGTGAAGGAGCATAGGCCACTCACCAGCATTCTCCATCCGAAACATCACTGTAAGTTAATATCACATAGTCCGTATTCCTTGAAACAACGGTTTTCATACATATATTCATTGATCAATAAATGACATCTCAAGACATATACAGTATCTCTTAGACGTGCTTGCAGCAGTTCGCGCTCTAACTTTACCCACCGCTCTTAATGTTTCTATCAGCACAATATTTCTCAAAGGGGATCTTTCCCGTGCTTATGTTTCACAAGCAAAGGTAGATTTCAAAGTGAGCATCACTTATTGAGATTCGACACGGACCGTTGTCAGCATGTCTCATATACACATACATTCCTATGCGACGAAATCGATAAACAGTCCCAAACATTTTCGGTTCATTTATGAAACCCAAAATAGAAGGCAACAGAATAAACTATACTCCGCTCACAAATACTGATGCACAAAATATTGACTCTGCTTCTTACAACCTTCTCATTGAAGCGTCCGCGTTAGTTAACAATGCAAACATGATTGTGTTGCTATTTTCCCCCTCCGAAGCCAAAATGCTGCTTCGAGACTAAATTGCGTCGGCTCTCAAATTAAGGGTAGAGAGTGAAGAAGTTGAATACACCGTCCACTTCAGCTGTCAGTTCTGATTGTCCAGTGCCTGACGAAAAAACAGCACAAATTCAGAAGGGTTGACTGACTTTGGAAGATTGCTTCACTGATGGTGCAGGCGAGATATCTGACGTTTTTTTTGCTCAGCAGTTTGCCCCAACAGAACCATTAAGAATAAAATATTTGAAGTTATTTGATAATAGATGTCTTCGAATAATCGCCCTTGTATCTAGGGTCAACTGAATAGTCAATATTGGGGTTAGGAATAGATTTTTTGGTAGGAAGGTGGAAAATTAATTGACGATTTAGTAAATCTTCATCAACTGAGGTGGTTCGGGCATGTGCTAAATAAACTCGGTGTATGAATGGCAATGGAGATCAAATTGAAACACGACTGCAGTCCACAGAGTCACTGATAGTTGAATCGAGCCATATTCAAATGTGTAGACTATTTGGTTGCGGTCAATAGGATTATCGTAACCAATGGTTGAAGACTATGAATGATATGGCTGAAAATCGTTTGGAGTGACGCAGGCACATCCATTATTTGTCTTCCACCAGATTTTGAACTCTTAAATTCCTTAAAATGTTTCCCGCGTATTTTCATCAACGTCTACTCAGTTGAGTCGTATGTTCGTAGCCTAGTCGTTTTAATCCCTACACATGCTGGCCTAACAACTTCACCTCTCTGTACTAATAAGATGTGACAACTCGAACCGACCTACATACACATAAGGTTCTAGCTCACGGAGAGTTAAAATTTATTGAGAATTAATCAGTCAGCGTGCTACTTGTTTTGTTCACAACCCCAGTGAAAAAACAGGGTGATGTCTTTGCGAGAGTGGCTGGAACATATCACTATTAAGTAACCTTTCATATTCTATAAATAAGCAATTAACAACCGGCTATCTACTTTATAGTGACAAGTATATTCAGTAACTTTGTGACGACGAAAATAATGGCCACGTTTCTTCTTATTTGTGACACATTATGCGTAACGTTATATATATTCAATATCTATTGTTTGCCTGTATCAACTACAAATGAACATATTACCGACATGTGATTGAATATAAACATCCTGTTAGGCCGTCTTATTATAAGTGGGGTTTCTGACCCAGATTTTTACTCAATAACACTATTGGGTTCAGATTTTTCTTCAATGCCAACCGTTCAAAAAACCTTTGTTTATCAAGCGTACTTCAGGAGCCTATTTCATAACAATTATCATTTCTGCTATATAATGAACCATTCCGCCGCAAGCCTTATTTGTTAAAGTTCTGTTTTGTTCATAGACAGTCAGTGTTATTATTTTTGAATATTTTATAGTTAAAACTAAAACGAAGCAATTGATTTCATATTTCAGTCTTATTCTTAGACTTTGGGAGAGCTCTTGATAAGGTCACACACGAAAGAGTTCTCGTCAAACTACAGTTCTTCGGAATCAACAAGCCACTGTACTCATGTTTTGCTCCATTCTTAATAGAAGGTAAGCAAAAGTTAAAGGACAACGACTATCTCTCTCATCACCTACATCAATAACTAGTGGAGTCATCCAGGGGAGTGTATTAGGTTCTCTTTTTGTTCTTATGTATATAAACGATATATGCGACACCACAAAATTTGGAAGACCATACTTATACGCTGATGATCTCAAAACAGGATACAGCTTTAAGTCTAATTGAAAGTGTATCTCAGATCCAAAGTGACATCAATAACCTAACTACCTGGAGCGAAAAAGGACAATTACCATTTAATCTCAACAAGTGTGGAATCATACATTTTGGAAAACATCCGTATGATTTACAACCTTACTTCAATAAAAGTACAGTTCAAACACTGAAATCAGCTCATGATCTAGGCAATATTTACATAGGAAGCCTATGCCTTGTTTATTATTTCTAAATCTAGACGACTAATTGGTTTCATAACAAAAAGTCTTTTCACAACAGAGCCTAAGCTTACCCCTTACAAAATATGTGCATGATCTTCTGAATACTGCTTTTTTATTTTCTCTAATATGAATATGACAGACAAGATAAGACTAGAAGATGTTCAAAGACGCTTCACATCAACTGCTAGGAATTGACTACTCTCGATTATACAGATACATGTAAGCACTTCTCTTTGAAACATTTATGGCACCGTAGGCTGGGGGAAAATCTAGTATTTCTGTGCAAAGCAATATATGGATTCTCATTTCTAACCTCCTGCCCAACTATGATCCATAACCGAGCCTATAGACTAAGAAACAACGCATATACACCAAAAACCAGTATGATGTAAGTTGTTTACAGTGCGTATAGTTTATTGTGGGATAGGTCGCTAATGCTTATTCGTAACTGTGACACTATCACTAAGTGCTAAATACTAATAACATTATTAATTGACACTGAAGAGTTTCATTAAATATTTTCTGAATTTCCAACCACCAATGAGGCACTTTATCACAGACCACCTAATATAGTGACCGATCATGAATATAACGAACCCCAATTGTCAGTAATATGAATATAACACAATAACAGAACACATGGTTTACTCTCTCTCTCACTATTCATTGACTAGTCATGTCCTTATGCTCCCACTCCTCAATTACAGATTCCGAATCTCCCTGATGGTTAAATTTCATTATTCTTGATATGTGTCATGTCCTTTTTTCCATTACAAGTAGACAGATAACTCACTAATCTTATTGATGCCGATTAACTAAGGCTGTTCATAAGAAGCTCAAAATGTCCTAAATTCTTGTGAGTCGCTCAATGTTTTGTTTTCTTACTCAGAAAATTTTACAATTCTAAACTCTTACATATTCTTTCATTTGCTCCTTATCCTAATCGTATATAAACCACACGTAATCTGACCTGTGTTTTATAACTTATGCCATTAGTTATCTTCGTAGCAGTGTGATGTACTAAATGGATATCTAACCCACAATATTGAAGCCTTAACTATCTGGTTTGCTCGTAACATGAAACCAATAAAGATAGTGTATTCCAACAGAGAGCTTAGATGAAAGCGATATTCATACACACCACAAACGTAAGAGAGCGTAATATTACAAAAGGAGGGAAGAAAGCATTACTGACCAGAAAACGTGATGGTGGGAGGTAGTTTCAATCCACTCACGTCTGTAGGACAGAACATGCTAAATTACAGCTCCTTGTGGTCAAGTAGAATTTCATGAACCAACGGTATTGATGTTAGTTTATTATGCGAAATACCCCTTCGAATTGTGTTTGTGACGTTGAATTGGTTTCACTTCCCACCAATTAGTCCTTTTACAGGCAAAACCAGGCAATTCGCTAAAAGCGAAGCTTGCTCATGACAATGTAAAATAAATAAAAATGAGCTGAAATGGTTTTGACAAAGAAGGAAGAT